GTATGGAACTTGATTTTGTAGCAGCATCATTTTTGCATTTGACATAAATATATAAAACCAAATGAAGAAATTGGGAGAAACACAAATAAGACTATTAACAATAAAAAATAAATCGCAATGCTACGCTTATGTTTTGACATTATCGACTGCTGATATTGACAAATGTCTTCAACCTCTAAATGTAAAATACCCCAAAATAAAGTCTTTATTACGTTACGGGTCACATACTTTGATTACTATACGGGGCAAGAGAGAAGTCCGACACTCCCAACATAGGGCGCGGCCATTTTGATTCCTATGACACAGTTTATACCTAAAGAATCAGATCGCTCACTTTGCGTCGGCACTTTTGATCTCAATGTTCCAGTTTATACACTGTGCAACTCGGATAATACAATATATGACAACGGCCTATAATAAAACAGCAGTCTTCTGCGTATCCTGAATTTGTATCCCTGGAGTGGATGTTATTTTGGAACTTTCAACTGGTCCGAGTGAGCTAACTGATTCTTTAGCAATAAACTGTGACTCCAAAAATAATATTCACTGACACTGGCAGCAGCTAGCAAAATATCAGGTGCGTTTTAATCATCCGCTCCTGCTTTCGGAATTGTCGGTTTAGTCGTTTTAACCTGTCAGATTGAAACAAGAAAACCGACAATTCCGAAGCAGAAGCGGATGATTAAAACGCACCTATTAAAAATATTGCGCCAAGATGTAGGCAACACGTAATAAGGGATCAAAATTGCGAAGTTTTCTATCTCCTTTTAAAAGGCACTCAGAAAGCTGCGCAGTGCGACCATTCTCCGTATACTAAAAGAAAATCAAAGTATGTGTTACGGGTACAACATGGTATGTAAATGGCATAAAAGTAGATAAGAAAAACCAAAAATTAAAAAAAAAACAGCCTCTTTCGGGGTTATGATGGACAAATAGTGTTATTTTTAACAAACACGTTATTTGTATACATGTTGTTATTTCTGTGTGTTTATAAAATAACAGACCTGGTAAAAATAACACAGGTTGTCAATCATAACCCCCCTTTAAGTGACCCGATTTCTTATGTCATTAGTGTCAATTTTATTTTGTCAAGTTGGTTGCACTTCTCTTATACAGATGTCCTCTATTGAAAAAAAAAATAAAAATTTTAAGCATCGGAAAGTAGTAGGCGATAGTCTGCAAATAAAAAAGAAGAAGATTAATTAGTGGTTGCACAATCGAACGTAAAAATGTACAATTTTGACACTGAAAGTTGTACAATTCAAAAGTCCCTAGGAACAACACTGGTTAAAGCCACGGCTGGTTAAGGCATCTGCGAACACCATAAAATTATTATACATGTAATTTGTTTTTAGGAAACCACTAAAGATCATATGTAAGTCGTTACTCCTTATAGGCTTGAAAATGGCTGTATTTGGAGAAAGGCTGTACAACCGAAACCGGTAACCTTGAATAATAAATTTTATATATGGGATAGATAAAGAGTTTTATTTTCTAATAATATGTTCTAGGAGTTTAACGCGAACTATAAATAAAAAACTGGGTAAAGTACTAGGCTTGTTCGGGTTTTTACATTAAGAACTATCAGAGGACAAGTTAACCAGTTAACAATTTCAAAGTTGTAGGCGGTGACTAATTTGCTATTCAGCTGTTCAACTGGATCTCGGGCGGTATGCATCAAATTTTAAAGAAACCCGAACAAACCTACTAATCTAACTGGTTTAAACTTGCTTGAACGCATTATGAACTCACACTTCACACTTTGTTTATTGTGACTACGATGTCTGTGTAGTATACATAAATATCTCTGTTAACGTAAGGGAAATTGATATAAAATGGCATACTTTTTACAAAAAGGTGAGTTTTATATTTAAAAGAAGCAGGTACAAATATATTACTCATTGGAGATTAAAAGTACACAAAACAGCAAAAATAAAAGTGCAGAAATGTCACTTTATCCAATTGCAATAAAGGTAGTTAACCGTTTTATCCTAGTGTGCCATATTAAACCAATTTCCCTATAGTACAAGTTCCGGGGTTGATGTCTGGAATGATCTGTTTTTATTAATGAATTTAATTTAAATAACAATATAAGACATTGTCGTCGCCTATCAAAATTTAGCTGCAATTACTGATGGTTAATTAAATTGTAATTTATTTAGTTTACTCCTTACATTAATATGATTTTTTTTATGAATTAAACGCCATTTCAAAGAAAATAATGTAAAAAATTTTAAATAATTTAAGAAGTGCTTCTGGTCGTTTTAACTCGAAAATAATATGGAGACTAGCGTTATCATCCCTGCTCGTTACAGATTAACCAAACACTTTTTACTGCTTATCAATCTTTCACCACGGCGATTCGGGCATCACGTGTTATCATCTATTGGTCTCTGAAGGTTAGCTGTATGGTGGAAAGAAAGGGTGACGTAATCACGTCGTCGATTTCAGACCAATCTAGAAAGGCCAGAGACAGCTCTAGACAAAACAAATGGCTTGGACAAAATGTTGAAGTATTTCAATAAATACATTCAACAAAAATAAGTCTTAGTGTTCTGACCTTTATCTTGTTTTGGCCGAAACACTATTCCCACATAGCACACGGACGTCTTATGGACGTCTAAAAGACGTCCTTTAGGGACATAAAGGACGTCCGAGGGACGTCCTATTTTGGTACCGGGACGTCAATCGGACGTCCCATGGACGTCCTAATGTCCCGTTTCTGTCCATCTTAGGGACGTCCCTTAGGGACATCCCAAAAGGACGTCATAGGGACCTTTGCGGGACGTCCTAGGGACGTAAATCAGACGTCCGAGGGACGATATTTGACCATAATCCATAAAGGGTAATAATAACAAAAATGTTAACAATAAAAGAGCTTTATTTAACAACTTTTATCCTAAAAAACCTAGCTAGAGTTAAACGTTTTCAGTTTACAAAAAAAAAACAGGAATGAATTAAATTTAACACACAGTGCTGGCAAGATGAAACCTTGGGTCCTACTTATAGCTTGTGTCGACAAAACTGAGTATTATAATTTTGTCCAAATTAGTTTTGTTCCAACTTTCCGCCATTAAGGTATTTTCTTTCCGCCAGCGGCTACCGACAATACACATCACTTATTCTCACATCAACACAAAACACTCACTTCACTTTATAACCACTTTACCACCAGCATCAAAAAAATAACAAATAACACTATATAACCTTCTTTTTTCTTCGTTAATCTAACTCACTTATTTAAGTTAATTATTGAATGCCGAAAATTGTAGCTATTGTTGTTCATTTGAAAATAAATGATAGGTTAGGTTTTCTGTCCTCATACTCTTGCAAAATCAAAGCGTTGAATTTAAAGTTATCGATTCAAAGACCAACGATGCTAGTGCATAGAAAGTCCCATAGACGTCCCTTGGACGTCCCATTAACGTCCCGGACTCGGACCGAAAACTAAACGCTTTGTCGAAACGGGACCAAAATAGGACGTCCAGATGACGTCCTTCTAAGGACGTCCTAGTGTTAACTGTAATCGGAAGTCCAGTGGACGTCCTATTTAGGTCCGGGACCAACCGGACCAACAAGGGACCAAATCAGGACGTCCATGGGACGTCCTGTGCTATCTGGGTTAGGAATCGGACTAAATACATTTAGCAAAAATAAGTTATACGTCTCTTATATGGTTTTGGAAGACACACTATTAGCAACTGAACATAATGTTATGATTATATTTCGGTATAAATTCCATTTATCTTGTTTGTGCATATTGTGAATGTATCAATATGGAGTTAGTTTTTTGACAGTGTGTTTATCATGAATGTAGACTTCGTTCACATTTTTGTTTATGCCGTATAATATTTAAACTATTTTGGAGACTAAAGTGTACTTAACTCAAAAATGCCAAAAGTGGAGCTATCTTATTTAAAAATTAACGTGATATTTAGCGCAGCGACCGATGAATATTTTCGCGCATTTTACTTAAAATTTTAAAAAAAGAAACCTATAGTTGTTATAAAAAGCATATTATTCATAATGGTGTTTCGGGCCTCAAAAAAGCTCGGAGAACCGCATGCGGCCCGCGGGCCACAGATTGAGTATGGCTGTTTTAAAACAAACGTAATTAATTCATTTTATACAGGCAATTATATACTTTCTTGTTCAGCAAAAATTAAATAACAATTTAGTATATATATTTTTTTTGAAGTATTTGCTTGACTTTCTAAGCGTGAGGAGGTCTGAACAGTGAATAGTGTATGGTAGCAAAGTTCAAAAGATTAAACCACAAACGGTATGTCTTTATTAGAAATAAAAATTCGAAAAAGTAGCGATAATTAAAATGTACCCACAGGCGACACCTACATCGTTTAAAAGCACAGTGGACCAAGCACACAATATGTACGGACAAAATATAATGCATCGACAACGAACAGTGCAACATAAATTTTCACCACAACAATTTCAGCATCAACAATATCCACAGCAACAATTTCTACCACAGCAATTTCCACAACAGCAATTTACACAACAGTAATTTCCACAACAACAATTCATGCAACAACAAATTTTAAATCCAGCTTCACAATATCCAACCAATCAGTTAAATTATAACACAAATATGACCAGCTCAATCAATACCGAATATGACCAGCTCTATCAACCAGATATCCAGATATCAGCTATAACAAATCGGTCCATAACAAAAAACAATACCGAAAATTTCTCTCGAGAAGAACCCGAAAAGGACTCTGTAATAACTACCAAATGCAATTGACAAAGAAAATTGGCAAAGAAAAAGAGCACATTTGTCTCCAGAGGTAAACAAAATAAACACCCCATTTATATGTGATACCCAGAATAGATATGAGCAACTTTCAGACATGTCAGAAGATGATGATGACATACAAAGCACCAAAACTGATGATGCCTCTACAATTTAAACAAAGAAACAACCAAAATAGCCCCATCCTCCACCAATATATATCTATGGAGTAACAAATTACAAAGACATGGTAGAATACTTGGCAAACACACTGAAAGAAGAACAATACCATTGTAAAAGTCTTTCAAATGACACAATTAAAATTAATGTAAGCACTCCAGATACTTATAGAAAATTAATTAAACAGCTACAAGACGATAAAGTGGTATATCATACATATCAAGTCAAGCAGGATAAGGCATATAGAGTAGTAATTAGAAACCTACACTATTCAATTCCAACAGCAGAAATTTCAGAGGCATTAAAAAAAGGACACACAGTACAAAATATTTTAAATATTAAACATCGTAAAACAAAGGAACATCTTCCCTTGTTCTTCATAGATCTAGAATCAAAAGAAAATAATAAAAATATCTTTGATGTATAATTCCTGTGTAATATGAAAATTAACGTTGAAACTCCAAGAAAGAAATATAGCATCGTTTAATGTACAAGATGTCAGTCCTATGGATATACGAAAACCTATTGTGCTAGACCATATGCATGCGTTAAATGCGGAGGAGATCATAATACAATCATTTGTAAGTAACCTGCTAATACACCAGCCAAATGCGCACTTTGCGAAGGAAGTCACCCAGCAAATTACAAAGGATGCGAAGTATACAAAAACCTTCAACAAGCTAGAGGAAAGCCAACAAATTCGCCACGTTATAACACTAGGCAATCAAGCATCAATATAAATGACACCAACCAATTCCCTCCAATCAATACCAATCAACTTCAAAACCAAATGCACTCAGCCCCACAAAATTCATATTCTCAAATACTTACACAAAACCAACAACCCATTAACATAATGGAGCAACTAACCACTTTCTTAAATGAATTTAAGGCAATGTTCAACCAGCTTATAAACCAGAATAGCATGGTATTAAATATGCTTAGCACCGTCATCACCAAAATTACTTAATAATGGATAATCTGCGAATTGTTCTCCGGAACGCTAATGGGCTAAGCAACCATAAACTTGAACTCATAAATTTTCTTTAGATGCACAAAATCGATATTGCTCTAATATCAGAAACCCACTTTACAACCATAACATATTTTAAAATACCATACTCCATCTCACCCAGATGATAGAGCACATGGATGTGCAGCCGTGCTAATTCGCAATACAATCGCCCATCACGAACTCATCCATCACCAAAGTGATAAAATTCAAGCTGCAAACGTTAGAGTAGACGCTAACCCATGGCCTCTAACAATATCAGCCATCTATTATCCTCCTTGATAGGCGGAGACTGGAATGCTAAACATTCACAATGGGCATCAAGACTAGTAACACCAAATGGAAAAAATCTACTCCAGGCAATTAACAGAGTAAATTGTGACTACATTTCAACTGGCACCCCAACATATTGGCCATCCGACCCTAATAGACTACCAGACTTGTTAGATTTCTTTATTCACAAGGGTGTAACAGCAAATTACATTCAAATTGAACCAAATTATGAGTTATCCTCTGACCATACTCCTGTAATCCTAACACTAAGCTCACACGTGATAAGTAAACCAAATATACTAACGCTTATCACAAATGCGACAAATTGGGATATATTTCATAGTTACTTAGATGAACATACAAATCTGAACATAAAAATCAAGGAATCTGACGAAGTGGACCAAGCAACTCAGTATTTCACCACACTAATCCAACAAGCAGCATGGCATTCAACTCCGCCAGTAAATCCGAAAACCAAGGACACATATAACATACCACTACATATCCGTCAATTGGTAACCGAAAAACGTCGAGCGCAAAACAGATGGCAAAGATCACGTAACAACGATGATAGAATTACATACAACAGGTTAAAACGCAAACTCCACAATACACTAGCGAATACAAGAAATGCTTCCTTTGAACAATATTTAACTAATCTTAGTAAAGAAAATCACACTATCTGAAAGGTCACCAAAAAGTTTAAAAGACCTCAAGTGCCAATACCACCTATAAGAAAAAATAATAGGACATGGGCCAAAAGTGACTTTGAAAAAGCTACCACGTTCGCTGAATATCTTGTCCAGACTTTTACACCTCATGAACATACAATAAACAATAACGATAGGGAAATTGAAAAATTTTTAGATGTACCTTGCCAGATGTCACTACCTATCAAATACTTCTCACCCAACGAAATAGTTCAAGAAATAAGAAAATGAAATCAACATAAAGCACCTGGCTACGATCTTATTACTGCAAAAATAGTAAGACACTTACCGAGGAAGACTATAGTGCTGTTAACAATAATATTCAACAGCATGCTGAGATTGTCATACTTTCCCGTGGTATAGAAGTTTGCTTAAATCATAATGATATCTAAGCCTGGAAAACCGTTTAATGAAGTCAGTTCTTATCGTCCTATTAGCTTATTACCAATAACATCCAAATTATTTGAAAAATTGATATTAAACAGAGTCGTTAACGATGTAAAATTATCCACACTAATCCTTGACTATCAATTTGGGTTTAGGCAACACCACTTGACCGTCCAGCAAACGCATACAATAATTAACCAAATTACCAAAAGTCTCGAAGAAAAAACATTTTGTACCGCTGCATTTCTAGACGTTCTAGACATTCAATAAGGTGTAGCATAGTGACTTATTGCACAAAATCAAAAAATCTCTTCCAAGTCCCTATTACTTGCTACTAAAATCATATCTTACCGAAAGATACTTCCAAACCAAGCCTTATTCTGCACTTTCAAGTTGTCACCTAATAAAGGCTGGTGTACCACAAGGGAGTATTCTGGGGCCTATATTATTCTCAATATACACCGCGGACTTACCTACTACAAACAATACCAAAATAGCAATGTTCGCAGATGATACAGCGCTTCTATCAACACACATTAATCCAGTTATTGCATCGCAACAACTCCAATATCATCTAGATGTATTAAAAGTGTGGCTTGAGCAATGGAAAATTAAAATTAATCAAACCAAATCCGCACAAGTGACTTTCACAAACAAGCGATCAGTATGTCCTCCTGTTAGTTTTAACAAACATTCAAATCCCCATTCAGGACGAAGTAAAATATCTAGGATTACCCTTGGATCAGAAACTAACTTGGAGAAAGCACATTCAAACAAAGAGGCAACAACTAAATTTAAAAGTAAGAGAAATGTCCTGGTTCCTAGGTCGTAAATCCAAATTATCTCTTGACAACAAACTACTACTATATAAATGTATCTTGAAGCCGATTTGGACGTATGGAGTGCAATTATGGGGATGTACCAAACCATCCAATACAAAAATAATTCAAAAGCTAAAGTCTAAAGTATTGAGATCAATAACCAATGCACCATGGTACGTGAGCAACTTCACATTGCACAATGACCTACAAGTCCCTTTCGTCACAGAGGAAATAAAATGACTATATCACATACTACAAGACAACGAAAATCTATACATAGCGCAGTTAAAAATCCCTCCAAACGTCACAAGAAGATTACAACGACAATGGCCCACATACCTGATCCAGTAGATACACAACGAGGATTAATCTTCAGCCAACAACCCTAGCAATGGTATCGATAAGAGGTTCGTCACTGGACGATTTCTCTTTTCAAGTCACCTTCATATAACACATTTAATTATTGCTCCAAAGAGAGTAGATTGTAAATATGCAGTTGTCAAATAAAAAAATAAAAAAATTTTTTTTTGAAAAACATGGTCCCAGGTTCGAATCCCACCGTTGGCCGGGATTTTTTTATTTAATTTAATTATATAAAATTAAATATGTTGCCTTGGTAGGATTCCCCACTCGACCATTCACTGTTGGGTTCTAATTAACAGTACTGTTCCTAAAGTGGTGCTGGGAAATAGTAACAAAGCCTACACAGACCACGAGGCTAATGGCCTTAGTAGTCGACGCCGATGACACCAAATTAAAAAAAAATTAACAATAACAAAATTGTTTACACCTGGCAAACTAGTGGCTGCGACTAATTGAGAGCTGGCATCCATTTTTTTACATTTTTCACATCGTTTTCTTTCAAATGGCGTTTAATTCATTCAAATAACATATTGTCGGAATTTACTAAAATGAATTAATTGCAATTTAATTAACTAATTGCGGCTGCATTTTGATAGGCTACCCGACGGCTATATATGAAATTGTTATCAATAAATAATTCATTTAAATTAGGTTTCAATAAAAAAACAGATCCCTGCTGAAATCAGCCCCGGATCATAGACTAATATATGCATAATGTTTAATCAGTATATATGACGACAGATAATACGTTAAAAAATATGCAATCAAAAATAAAAATCCACCTATTTAAGAAATAATGAAGTTATTCCGTATTCCTTTTAATAAGATTATCTTTTAATTTAAATTACTACGTTGACGTTGTATAAAAACAAAATATTTACTGCTCCTCTCGAATAAAGATAATAAAATATTTTTGTAGCCACTATGTACAAAAACCAAATTACCTACATAACATAAAAATTGTATATTTTTATAATTAGTTAATGTTTGCGAATTGATGTTAGATATAAGTCTATTAAATATTGTCTTTTCAATAATACAAAGTTTATAATCAGATGTAAAATGTTTCCATTTAAAATTTTAATGATTAAAAGCTGTCTTGGATTTTCGAGCAGAAACGTGTTTTACTTAAAAACAACCTAATTCACAAAAGCATGAAACCTGGGCAGAATCTCAAGCAGATTTGTTTTTTATAACCTATATAACTATTAATAGGGTGTTCAAAACGTTCGGATCAAAATTGTTTTCATTGCCCTTGATTCTACATCAATGGGTTATCGTAATTTATCGAAATAAAATGTGTTAACTAATAATGGTGATTGACTAACAAGTATATATTTTTAAGTTAATCTACCGTAAGGGAAGATATTTAGAAACTTATGTATATATAAAATTCACTTAATCACCTCGTATAATGGAAACTTATATTTAGCTATTCTCAAGAATTAGTTAAGATCTACAAGTTCCCAGTTTACGATACTTTATTCTGAAACGATGTAGAAATAAAATAATAAAAACGCTAATAATTGCTGTTATAGGCTTTTATAACATTTTGTAGATAAAGAAAAGAAACGAATAAAGGTATTTTCAATTTTTTAAATGTATATGTATGTACATTTTATTAGAATTAGTAGTTCGGCTGTTAAGACATCATCCCGATATTATAAATGTAAACAAGAACAATGGAATGATCGATAATAATTTGTTATTTTTTTTTAAGCTCTTGGCGAATACTAATAAAATTTCCACACTTGAAAAGACCTATCTTTCCTTCGTTTTTTTTATCAATCTGTGTGTAGCAGCTACACCTATAAACCTTTGATTTATTTTGTAAATGATTAAAGTAGTATAAGTTATTGAA